AGCAAGGATCCCAGATCGCCGACCCTGCCGGCCTCATCAACAAAACCAGGTTCAGGAAATCACGGTCCCACCGTAATCCTGGATGGCCCTGCCCCAGCCCACCCCTGGAAAGTGGCAGCCACATACGCCCTTTTTCCAAATCCCCCGTATTTAAAAGGGTAGAAACGCACCAACGCCCCCAGGGCCCAGGTCTCTGCACAGGCAGGTCAGAGCTCTCACATCAAACAAAATCCGATGTTGACAGAATGGAAGCTGCTTTGTCAAATCAGCGGGGGGATTCAGAGGCCTCCATGAGCGGAACTTGAAACCCACTGTTCTATGCCAACCCCTTCAGCGTCCATATGGGGAAAATGAGGCCCAGGGTTGAGTGGAAAGTTGCTCAAGATGACATAGTGAGTGGCAACAGAACTAGGACCAGAACTCAGGGTCCTGGCTCCATTAGGCAGCCTCTGCGGAGACAGGGTGACATGAGCTGTTTGTCCTCCCAACGAGGGCAGCGGTTCTCAGCCCCAGATGCACATTCATCCCCGGTGGATCCTGGAAAACCTAGGGTGCTGGGACACTTCAGAGATGAGTTGAATCAGGTTTCGAAAGGTGGGGCCTGGGCATCCATTTTTTTATGGGTCCCCAGGTGACTGAAACACGCTGCCAGGGTTGAGAACCTCCGAGCTGGAGAAAAGAGGAGCTGGATGGCTCATCACCAGGTGTGGTCCCTTAGGAGACACCTGCCCGGGGTACCTTAGTGGTGGGCTCTCTGCCTTCTGTCTTTTCCATGTGCTGCTACTTGAGGTCATTCTCTGGGGCGGGAGCTGTGCACCTGCTGAGGTCAAGGTGGCCCCCTCTTAGAGGTGTCTGGGCTGCCATCAGAACAGACTCAGCTGCCCTCCAGACTGCTATGTGTGCTGGGCCCCTCTGCAGCCATGCAGATGGGACCTGACCCTTCGGGGACCTTCTGACTGCAGGACCTACACAGCTGTGCAGCTGAGAATACCTGGAGCTCTGGGGCCCTTAGAGCCAAGTGTGCCAGCACAGAGGTGCCACAAGCCCCACCAGGACCTCCAATCCAGGTGAGTCTCAGTACCTCTGTGACTCAGTTTCCTCTTCACCAATAGCCAAAGATCCTTCGTTTGGATTGGAAGATCTGGTTTCTAGTTTTAGCTCTGTCCCTAACTCGCTATGTAACCCTGAGCAAGTCATTTACACTCCAGGCCTCAGTTTCCCCAAATGAAAAATGAAGGGGTGGGTAAGACCCCAGAGATGTCTCACTGAACCAGCCTGGGGACTGCTCTCCAAGGCCACCTGTGATGAATCCCAAAGGTGACCAGCTTCGCGGGCCCCTCAGGCACAGGCGCAGCCACAACCCAACAGACTCCAGGAAGCATCTCCACATGTTACGGGAAAGCCCAGTGGGAGTGGGTCCAATCCATCCTTGCTACTGGACCAATGGCAGAGGCCCTGAGGATGGCCCTCTCCACCAGAAGTCGTCCTGGGATTTTGATTTTGCCCATTAAGAATGAAACCAGGCCAGATATGGTGGCTCTCACCTGTAATCCCAGCACTTTGGGAGGCTCAGGCAGGCGGATCACTTGAGCCCAGGAGTTCAAGACCAGCCTGGGCAACATGGCAAAACCCCATCTCTACAAAAAATACAAAAATTAGTCAGGGATGGTGGTACATGCTTGTAGTCCCAGCTACTCGGGAGGCTGAGGTGGGAGGATCGCTTGAGCCTGGGGAGGCCCAGGCTGCAGTGAGCCAAGATTGCACCACTGTGTTCTAGCCTGGGCAACAAAGTGAACCCGTCTCCAGAAAAAAAAAAAAAAAAAAGAAAAGAAAAAGAAAAAAGAAAGCAGCTTTCTTCCTGCACCAAGGCTTTGTGCTAAGGTTTGCGCTGATGCTTGAGCCTTGAGAAAGAGCTGTGTGGAACCAAGCAAACCACCTGGGCTGCGGAACTTGATGGGATCTGGGTTCAAGCCCTACAGCCCAGTGGGATAGCACTTGTCAAACCACCATCCCTCTGAGCCTGCCTCCAGTTGCAGGGAGGAGTTAATGCGCCACCAGACGCCCAGTGCATGGCTCAGTGCACCAGGGTACCCTTCCTTCCCTTTCCCCATCCTAAGACTCACTGCTCAGGAAAGAAAAGCCCCCATATCATGCCTGGGTCATCTTCAATTCATGGAAAGGCAAGAAGATAAAGTTGAATCCACTGCCACAGATAGAGAGGCCCAACAGACTTGCTTGTCCTCGTCCTTCAAGGCTTTGATTGGTGCCCCTCCTCCAGGAAGCCTGCCCTGACTCAGCTATGCTAATTTATCTTTTTTCAACTCCTTCTCCCAATACGGTCCAGAGGCTGTTTCCCAGACATCTTGCATATGGCAGGTTTGGAGATGCTTGAGGCTGTCCACAGGCCCAGGACAAAGCCTTAAACCGATGATGATGATAATGGTGACAGTTAACATAACTGAATGTTCACCACAAATCAGTATTAGTTACATGCTTTGCACACACAATCTCATTCAATCCCCCCAACTGCCCTTTGAAGTAAGGCCAAACTGGGTTACATCCTGGCTCTGCCACTCACTGGCTGTGTGACTTTGGGCAAGTTGTTTAACCTCTCTGTGCCTCTGTTTTCTCATCTATAAGATGACAATGATGACAGTACCCACTTTAGAACTGTGTGAGAATTAGTTAACATATGGAAAGTACTTAGGACCAGCACTGCTGGGGAGTGGCATTAAGTGTCATTGCTGGTATTATTATCATCCCCAGGCGACAGGTGAGGAAACAGAGACTCAGAGAAGCTAAAGGAGTTTCCCACAGTCGGAGAGCTGGGAAGTTGCAGAGCCAGGACGGAGCCACCACACCTACTGCCCTTTCTCTTGTTGGCCCGCAGGCTGAGCACCCAGGATTGTTACATCACAGCACCTCCAAGCCAGGAGGGACCTCAGAGCTAACTCAGTCCTGCTCCCTTTCCCAGAAACGAGTCCTTTCTGCAGCACCCCTGTAAGAAGGTTGTCTGGCCTCTGCTGGCCTCTCAGAGGGGAGGGGCTGCTTCTGCACCCTTGTGTGTGTCCCCAGAGCCTGTGCTCATCCTTCAAGGCTCTGACTGGTACACACACTAGACTCAAAAGAAATACTTGAAGAATGTGTGAATGAACGAACTAGGAGCTCTCCACTCCCAACCCTGGGGGGTTCGGCCATCAGGGCCCAATAATCCCTCCTTTGAAGGTATCAGAGCTTCCATCCCCCACCCTGTGACTGTCCCACCCACGGCCTTCTCTGCAAACCTCCAGTGTGGCTCAGGTGACTCCAGGAAGCTATGGCCTTTGTCTCTTATCGCCCCAATCCATCCTCTATCTTCTAAGGAAGCTCTGCTGGGGAGGAGCCAGCCCCAGGCTTCCTGGGGCAGGTCAAACCGGAGACACATCTGCCCAACAGGCACGAGGTAGCAGGGGCAGGTGCGTCACCCCATGGCACGCAGCCCAGTCACCCCATGGCAGGCAGACAGTGGTGCCAAGTGGCAGCTACCCCTCCTTCCTTACCCCTCCTCCTTACCCCTGTGGCACAGCCTCCGTGGCTTCCCCTTCCTTCAAGAACCACTGAATCCCCTTCCTCCTCCTCACTGCCCATCCACCCACCCAATACCAGGATTTATGTCCTGGACTGGCTCTGCTCCAGACTTGGTTCCCTCCCATGACCAGCTCCTCACCCCTCTCATCCAATGCCCGCCGCTCCCAAGTTCACCCCGATTTTTCGAGTCTTAGTCTCGGAGACTCATTCTCAATGGGTGGGCCATTTTGCTCCCCACCCCAGGGCACATTTGGCAACGTCTGGGGACATTTTTGGTTGTCACAACTCAGGAGTGTGCTGCTGGAATCTAGCAAACGAGGCCCGGAAAGTTGCTCTCCATCCTACAGTGCACAGGGCAGCCCCCATGACAAAGAGGTACCGTGACAGTAGTGTCGAGGTTGAGAAACCTGGCCCGAGGAGAGGGCTGGGAGACTCGGGAGGCAGGAGCTGTCCCACAGTTTTGCACCCTCCCCTCCCAATATCCTGATTACCTCAAAGCCAGGTAACTGGAGACTCCCCAAAAGCCTAAGAAGCCAGCTCCCTGGTGGTCCCCAGAGCCCAGCTCCTAAAACCCTACCTTAACCCTCTTTTCTTCCTAAGAGAGAGAAGACAGGGCCTTACCTCCCTCCACCATGGGCCTTAAATGCATGACCTGGCACACAGTAGGGGCATAATGCATGGCCATTGAGTGTCTGGAGGAAATCAGATTGGAAATCTCTATTTTCCAAGTATCAGAGCAGCTAAAACCATAAGACTCTTGAGTAAGACCACAAGCAGGTTTAAACCCTGGCTTTGCCACATAGTAACTGTGTGACTTGAGCAAATGGCTTGCCCTGTCTGCCTCGGTTTCCTCATTTGTCTGATGAGATGATGCTAATAATAAACCTAGTTCACAGGGTTGTTGTAAGGGTTAAATTCAAGATTAAAGTTCGAAAGTTAACTCAAGAGGCTTGTGAAGCTCTTAGAACAGTGCCTGGTAAGTGCTATGTATTAACCTATTTTTTAAAAATGATTCACGGTCTGTTTCTAGGCTCATGGGCTCAAGATGGGGCTGGGGATATCTGCCTCTTCCTATTCTTTCGTGCCCCAGACAGATCCTCAGCCTAACCTGCAGGATCCCTTGGACACAGAAAAGTGTCATCTCTTCGTGGCACCAGCCCCCTCCAAGCCCCTGGTCTGGATCTCAGTCACTGAAGCCTCTTCTACCCCGCTCAGCCTCCCAAACTTCAAATTCCCTGGCTGAGGTCTTCAGGAAACTCAGCTGACCAAGAGGAGGACCCAGGCTTCCCTGATTGGCTGCTGTTCCGAGGCCAAGGCTGGGGAGTGGGCCCTGAAGAAGCCCTGTCCGGCCTGCAGGGAGGAAGGTCCAAGGGAGGAAGGTTCAAGGACATCAGCACCAAGGGCCTGCAAACCACTAGACCTCTGACTCTTACCCGTAAATGTCCACGACGGTCTCCACGCCAGCCACACACACCGCGCTGGTGGGATGCTCCAGGGACACACGCACGATTCTCTGCAGCGACATGCTGGTCTTGGACTTAGCTGTGGCCGCCAAGCCCAACACTGCCCCTGAGGCCCCTTAGGATGAGGTTTAAAAGCCCCTGGCCCCACCCCTCCAGCCAGGGTGCCGATTCATTGGCTCCAGTCATGAAAGCCCAGCCCCTTCCCAAAACTGAGAGCTCAGGATAGGCTGGAAGGGACCCAGTATTTGTAATGAACCTGTTGTCTTGACCCCAGCACCCAGGAAGTTAATTTCTTGGGAAGCAAGTCCCCACAGGTACCTGGCTAGGCACCAGGAACTGTTGGGGGCAGGTGCTGTTGAAGGGGTGCAGAGATATATGATACCGGTCTCGGACGCTTCTTTCCCCCTCACCTCCATTTTCTGCATTTTCAGAGACAATATAATTTAATGGGAAGCTTTCTTACTCTGCTGGGGAGCTGGTGAAAATGCGGATTCCCAGGTCTGTTGTCCACTCTGATCCAGCAGGTTAGGGGTGCAGCCTGACCTCTGGATTTGTTTGTTTGTTTGTTTGTTTGTTTTGAGACGGAGTTTCACTGTTATTGCCCAGGATGGAGTGCAACGGTGCGATCTTGGCTCACCGCAACCTTCCCCTCCTGGCTTCAAGTGATTCTCCTGCCTCAGCTTCCTGAGTAGCTGGGATTACAGGCATGTGCCACCACTCCCGGCTAATTTTGTATTTTTAGTAGAGATGGGGTTTTTCCATGTTGGTCAGGCTGGTTTCGAACTCCAGACTTCAGGTGGTCCACCTGCCTCGGCCTCCCAAAGTGCTGGGATTACAGGCGTGAGCCACCGCACCTGGCCCTCTGGAGGTTTTGATAAGCTCCCCAATGCATTTTGGTGTCCTTTGAGAAACATCAGCTTTTTTTTTTTTTTTTTTTTTTTGGCATGGATTTTAGAGCCAGGCCTGGGTTTCAGCCCTGTCTCAGCCACTTCCTAGGTGGGCGACCCTGGGCAAGTTTCTTAATAGTTCGCGCCTCACTTCTCTCATCTGAAAAATGGTTGCTGTGAGGCCTCATGGGCAGCGTTGGTAGAGCTCTGGAATGGAGCCTGGCGTTATTGTATTACTGTTGTTGTCATTAGATCTCAAAAACCTCTGAAAGGGGTAAATGATGAGGGCGAGAACTCTCTCCAGCCGGGGGAGCTTGGCATGTCAGAGTAGGAAGGCTCAGTCATCGGGCGGGAAAACTGAAGTCAGAGGGGGCATTCGGGCTCCTGGAAGAGCAGGAGCAAGGGCTCTGGGGAGAGAAGTCTTGGGTTCAGATGCAGACTCCACTGTGTACCCACAATAGGGCCTTGGGTGCCAGTGTCCCCCCCTCTTGGAGACTCGGTTTCCTCATCTGTAGAAAATGCAGCTAATCACTGGCGCTGGTGGAGATAATAGTGAAGACGCACCCTGCCTGGGGGAGGCTTAGGAGGTACTGAATAGAAGTTTCCTCCCTTTTCCCTGGCAGTGCTGACAGCCTAAGGCAGGATGGGGACCAGGACCCACTCCCCAGCACCTCCAGCTGGGACATCTGCACCCGTTCAAGGACCTCAGCAGGACCCTAAGATTGTCATTTCCATGTCTCAGTTTCTGGGAAGGATGTTCTTTTCAAGGAGAACTGCTGGGCTGCTGGGCTGCTGGGCCAAGAGACAGCTTCACTGTTTTCAGCTGTGGAACGGCTTGATGACTGTGTCAGCCCTGGGTAAGAGTTCGAGCTCAGGAGGAAGCCTTAGTCTCCCTAGCCTGCTTGTGAGCACAGATGGGGAATAGACGCAGAAAGTGGGGGCTTTCCCTGGAGTGCTGGCCCACGACCTGCCTCCTCAGAGAACTGTATGTGCCTTTGGAAGGAGATTAATGCCTTCACTTCTCCCCCGTTAATACCAACTTTTAGAAACAGGTTTGTGGTTAACTCAGACTAAAGTGTCAATGACTAACAGGCAACAACTTTTTGCCCTCTTAGTCCACAACAAAAGCTAAAATAAAGTGAGTATCAAAGGGTATAATTTGAGGCAACAGCAAACGTGTAGGATGAGAGGGTGACATTTTCAGGCATCCAAAATCAGACCACTGAAGCCAGGTAACTTAGAAGCTTCAGAGGCAAAAGTGGAAGGGAACTGGGCCAGGCACAGTAGCTCACACCTGTAATCCCAGCACTTTGGGAGGCCAAGATGGGAGGATAGCTTGAGCCCAGGAGTTTGAGACCAGCCTGGGTAACACAGCAAAACCCCAGCTCTGTAAAAAATAAATTAGCAATTTGCTGGGCATGGTGGCCTGTGCCTGTATTCCCAGCTACTCAGGAGGCTGAGGTGGGAGGATCACTTGAGCACAAGAATTCAAGGCTGTAATGAGCTGTGATCGCACCACTGCACTCCAGCCTGGGTGACAGAGCAAGACTCAGTCTCAAACAAAACAAAACAAAACAAAAACCAGAAAGGGAACTGTAGTGGCCTGTGGCCCTGGGAACCAGCCCTGCTGGGGAACTCTCACCTCTGTTAATAGGACCCAGGCTGCCTCCCCGACCTGTCCTCCCTGAGAGATGGAGGAGATGCTGAAGGAAGAGAGGAGAGAGGAAGAGGCAGGACCCATCCCTGCCCCGATCTGATCTCCATCTCAGCAGGGCCATCAGCCCCAGAGCAAGAGGCATGTGCCAGTCATCCTGCTGAATCAGCCTGCCTGGCACTGGCCATGGCACTGTGAGGCTCTCCCAGCTGAGCAGGGTCTGCCTGTGGCAGCAGAAGTTGAGCCAAGCAGCTGCATAGTGGGTGAAATTGGAAGCAGGCATCTCCACTTTCCTCCCCTCCTCCCCAACCCAACAAACAGGCTGGGGAGACAGCCCTGTAAGAAATGCATGTCGACATTTTTATTGATCAGAAAGGTGGTGACTGGTCACCCAGAACATTCTCAGAGCCAACACCAGGGCCCCTCGATGGCCCAGCAGCAACTCCAGAGCTTCCCACACCCAGGGTGGCCCTGACCCCCAGCCCTATCTCTGCAATGCCCACTCCCCTCCTACCCACAGCTCTTTCTCGGGGGAATCCCAACCCCAGCTCACACCCCCGGCCCCTTCAGAGCCTCCTTCTCCTTCTTGACTCAGTGCAGCCTGGGGTATGATCCTGAGCAGGGGGTGCTCCGGTTAAAGCAGGAGCTTGCAGATGCGGTTCTGTAGAACCTTCCAGAAGGGGATTTTCAGGTTCCTGCTCACCCACTTTAACCATAGCAGTTCCAGGCTAGCTTTTGTTGGTTAAAAGAGTGACAGTAGTTGGCTCAGTGTGAGGTCTCCCCAGGGGCCACCAAAACCCTAGATGGGCAGAGGCTCTAGGGCCGACTGCCCTGCAGTGACCACGCTGGCGGTGGGGGAAGAGGGTGGGCTGGCTTTCTCCCGCCCGTGCCCTGCAGCCCAGCTGAACCAGACTGCCTGTGCCTGTCTCAGCGACCACACTCAGGGCGATGAACCTCCCGTGGCAGCTGTCTTCCCTACTGTGGGAGGGAACACGGGCCTGCCACAGCGGTGTATTCAGGGGTGAAACCCATGCTATGTGCAGGGTTCCTGGGTTGATGAGAGAGACCGGACAAGCCTTCCCCTCCCACTGCCTGCAGAATGAAGGGGAATAATTAAAGACTATTAAAGGAAATTAAACTCCACCTTCAGAGAGAACCTAATTTCCTCCCAACACACACACCCTCTTCTAACATCTGGGCCCCCACCCCTGCTACATCTGGAAGCCAGCTCCCTTCAAATCCAGAGTTCAAAATCCCAGCCCAGGAGCCATGGACACCTCTAGGCCCCCAAATCCATCATCACACACTCCGCCATCCTGACCTTGTCCCCTCCCGCCCCATCTTCCTTTGTGTGTCCTCAGGCCTCACATTGGCCTCTCAGCATTTCTGAGGAGGGAGAAGCCGGCTCTGGTAATTAAAGTCTTTCCAGAAAGGTAACAATCAGTCTTCTGAGGTTGGAGTCAGTTATTAAAATTTTGTTGTCTTTTTTTTTTTTTTCTGTTTAAATCGGCCCTTGGACACTGGGTTTTTCTGTCCTTGTTTGTCCACACACAGCTGAAGGGTGCTGGATGGGGGTGGAGGTAAGTGTCACAGCCTTGGGGCCCCTTTGGGAGAAGAAATCTGGATGGGGCAGAGGATGTTTCTGATCTCCTTTCCTAGCTTTCCAAGAGCAGAGGCAGCCTGGTGCCTGGCACACCAGACCCCGGGTCCTCCGGGCCCCATTCCTGGTGCAGACACACAAAGTTACTGTCCTTGTTCCCCAGGGAGGCATCAGAATGAAGGGGGAGCAATTCAAAGTGGGGCCCGTCTCCCTAGGCCACCCACAGCCATTCTCGAACATGCTAACATTGTGGGTCCGGAGCCTCTGGGGGCTGTGGGTGGGGAAGAGGCGAGGGAAGAATGATGTGCGTTCTTCTCAGGTTGGGTAGGCCGTTCCAGAGGCGAGGGTGGGTGGTATCCATCCCTGTGTCCTGGTGCCCACGGGGGCCAGGATGTTTGCAAAGTGCCAAGGCTCCCCCAAGAGAATGGAGGCCAGGTGGTTGTTCCCTGCCCTCACCCTGGCGGGGTTCCCCAGCAAGAGGGCAGAGAGGATGGCGGGTGGGGGCAGGCTCAGGGCACCATGTTCCACCATTTGAAGGGAAAGGGCTTCCTGCGCACGTTGGTGCCACAGTGGATCTCGCCCTGCAGCTCGTGGTAGGACAAGTAGTCATCAATGAAGATGCAGTGCAGGCCCAGAGGCTCCAGCAGGGACTGCACCTTCTCCTCCAGGCAGCAGCGGCCGTTGATGATGGGCCCGTAGGGCTTGGGGATGCCCAGGTACTTGCCTAAGACCACCATGTTAACCTGCAAGACAGAAAAGGCAAGAGGGAGGCTGTCTGGCTGCGAGCGCTGTGCTTCCGGCACCCCTTCCTTGCCGGAATAAGACAGACCCTGGGGAATGGGTTGGCCATCGCTAGAGCCCGAAAGGGCTCTAGGACTGGGGTTTGCTCAAGAGTTAGGGTCTATGAAAGCAGAGGAGAAAAAGATTCAGGGTTGGAAATGAGGTTGAATAACAGCCAGGGCTACCAGGAATTTTGTACATTAAAACAAAAAAAAAAAAAAAAAAAAAAAAAAAAAAGAACCACTTCTCCAACACTTTCTTCCATCTATGAGAAAACTGTCATATTATAGCAACTTTGTTAGAACAAGAGATTTTCATGTCATCTACCAGAAACTTGTACAACAAATATACACACCTACAAGGTCTGTGGTGTAAATGTCTTCCAAAGTGTGGTGAGCTTTTGCAGTGCACAGCTTGCTTAACTGTCTTTGGCAGCCCTGATCATTGTTAGCATTTATTGAGCATTTTCTATGTGCCAGATATATCATCACTAAATCTCACAGCCTGCCTCCGAAGCTGTGGCTCAGACAGGTTAAGTCACATAATTATACAGCCAGAGAATGATGAGACTGACATTTGGACTTGGATCTGACCGATGCCAAAACCCATGCTCTTTGTATCTGGCCACCTGTGGGACTGAGGAGTTGGGGGAAAGGGCTGAAAGCTTTTGGGGACACTTGAGTTTAACTCTGGGGGCACCTCTCCTTCCCGTGATTGTGGACCTGGCTTGGGGTCCTAATTCTGGGGATGGGAATTCTCCCCCATGCAGTGGTATAGGGGTTTCTTAGAGTAAATATCTGCCCAGGTTGATGGCAAGAGGTCATAAAGGGCAACCCTTGGTGTTCAAAGCGGACTCCAGACCTTCTCTCTAGAGGGCAGCTCTGGGCTGTCTTGGGTTCGTGGTGAGCCTGTCCTGGACTCTGCCCTCAAATTCTCCATGCTCTGCCCCCCACCCTCAAGTCCGCCCCACCCTCATCCATGTCAGGGACCAACATAAAGCTGGAGCGTCCCGTGAGGTCAGTCCCCTGCCCTTGACCCTGAACTACCTCTTTGCCCACTAATGGGCCAGAACATGCTGGGGTGGGAGTGGGGGTGGGGCATGCAGGGGGCAAAGGGCAGAAAGAGGAGAAAAGAGCCAGGACCAGGACCAGGACCAGGGCCAGGGTCAGAGCCAGCCGGGCCTCCGCTTCCTCCTAAATGAGGAGTCATGGGATTGGGGGCTGGTCCCAACTCCGCCACTCGCTCACTGTGTGACCTCAGACACATGACCCATGCTCCTTCTAAGCCTCAGTTTCCCCATCTGACAAACCAAGGGGTTAACTGGGTGTTCTCTGTGGGACCCTCCAGTGAAGACAAGCTGGGTTCCTTCAGCAGAGCCTGGAATGAAGCTAGGGAATCCCCACAGGATGGCCCACAGGCAGGGGACTTCCAGCAGACAGAGGCCAGGCCACAGTCACACGTGCTCCAGCCTAGGCCCTCCCCCCACCTTCAGCCAGAACCAGAGCTTAGCAGTCCCGTAGAGCTCTGCTGTCCACCACAGTAGCCACTGCCACATGCAGCTGTTTAAATTAAAATTAAACTTACATACAGTTACAATTTCCGTTCTTCATCGACACTAGCCACATTTCAAGTGGTAGCTGAGTGGCTACTGGACTGTATTGTGCAGATATAGAACATTTTCATCAGCACAGAATGTTCTAACAGATAATACTGCCTGACTCCAAGCAGTGGTTCTCAATCAGGAATGATTTTGTCCACTAAGGCACTTTCGGTTGTCACAACTAGGAGAGTGCTATTGGCATCTAGTGGGTAGAGACCAGGGAAGCCACTCAACATCCTGCGAGGCACAGTACAGCATCTACAACAAAGGCTTATCCAGCCTAAAACAGCAATAGAGCTACAGAGTCAAGAAATCCTGCTTGGGGGTCTCTGCCAGGACCTAGAGGCTGGAATCTCCCCAGGAGGAGTCAGGAAAGCACATGGGTCCTCGCCACCTCCCACAACGTGCATCCTGATTCCAACATTCGCTTCCAACCCTTGGCTTGTCCCAAGAGAGGGATTCAAGCTGAAGACCGCAGTATAAAGAAAGAGGGTCTATCCCCATCCTGGGGGACCATCCCTCCCAGCTGCCAACACCCCAACATCCTTTCCCAAGAGGTTAATGGGCACTTGGGCCAGGTCCACCCCGATAGCATCACTCAGGCCTCTCCCAGGTGAGATCACATCTGCCCATCTCCTTGTCAGCTGCCCGGTTAATGAGAGTCAGTGAGGCCACCGCCCGCCCCCGCCTGCCTGCCTGACACAGGACCCCCACTGGGGAGCAGCAAGTGAGGGACTGTGGTGGGAGCACAGCAGGCAGTTGAGACCCAGAGAGAGAAGCCTGAAACACTTGGAACCAAACCACGTTTTCTTTTTCCGTCTGGGTGAGAAAAAAAAAAAGTGCTTTGTGGTGGGGCACCCCATGCCCTGTAGGATGTTTAGTGAAATCTCTGGCTTCTACCCACCAGATGCCAGGGGCACACAACTCCCTGTGGCAACAAAAAAAATCCCCTGGGGGCAAAATTGCCCCAGTTGAGAGTCACTGATGGGAATGTTCTCTATATTCACAAGAACAGACCCTGGAGAGGTCCGCAGGGCCCTCCAGCCTCTGCACCAGCCTGCCCTGGGCCAGGGAGTGCTTCTTCTGGGAGCCCCGCAGACCCCCCAGCAGGACCCTGCCCAAGGGCTCTCACCATGTCTGGGAAGAAGGCTTCTGCAGAGAAGTTTTTCAGGAAGAAGAGCTGAGGAATATCCACGATGTCACTCTCTGCCAGGCCCAGCTCCCGCTTCAGTACATTACGGTTCCAGTCAATGCATTTCTGGGGAAAGGAGGCAGCTGGGTAACCTGGGACCAGGAAGAACACAACACTGGCCAAGCACCTACTGTGTGCCAGGCCCGTGTGGAGCCCTCTGGGCCCGTTAGCTCCTTGAAGTCTCACAACAGCTTTGTGCCATAGAAGCCATTGCTGTCTGGGGGAAACTGAGGCTCAAGCAACCTGCTCAAGTGCACACGGCTAGGAAGTGCCAGAGCTGGGGTTCGAACCCACACAGTTTCTGGATGCAAATGTTCTTGTCAGTACAACACACTGTCTCAGCCCCAGCCACAGCGTGGCTGATGCTGCTGTCTCTTCTCAGCAGCTTAGGAGAAAGTGCTAGGCACCACCGGGGAGGGGTAAGGGGCCTCCTCCTGTTAATTGAGCACCGACTCTGCGCTAGCCCCTTCGCCTTGCACGGGGCAGGCACTTTTTATCTTGGGGTGAGCCTGCCCCTTCCTGACACCTTGCTTTACCTGTTCTCACAGAATCCCCCTGACTCTTACCCGCCCCACCTCTGGGCCCCGCAAGGTCCTATTTCCCCACCATGTCTCTTGTCTCGCATTTCACCAGACTTCTCGGATGAGAGGCTCAGGTTTGCTTCTATGGAAATAGGTCATTGCCCCAGAGTGGGGCCAGGTCTCCCTCATTAAGCTGGGAGCAGCCTGAGGGCATGGCTCTGTCTCTTCCATCAGACTGTGGGTTCCTGAAGGCAGAGGCTTCCTACCCACAGGCCCCAGCAGCCCCCAGGACCATCAGAGCTCCAGCGCCGAATCCCTGACGCCCCCGCAGCAGTTCCTGGGGCTGCTTCTTCCTGGAAGGGAAAGGACCCCTTAGAGCAACTGGTGGTCCTGCCCCTCACCTGTGCATGAAGATTGTCTCTCTGGAGGTGTCTGTCTGCCAGCATCTCATTAATGCTTATTTTTGCCTGGTGTTTTAACCCTGCAAGAAGAGAAAGACAATGCATAGCTCAGGGAGCACTGCCTGGAGGCCCTCTTCGGCCTGGGGCTACATAATTCAGGCCAGGATTTCCCTCCTACCTCAGTGCCAGTGTCAGAAGCCAGGATAGAGAAAGTCGGAGACTGAGAACCCTGATGGGACCAGGCCCTGGCTGCAAGGAAAACCTGGTGGTGGATGAGGAACCCCTCAGGAAGTGACTCCGGACTGAGAGCCTAATTATTATGGCACAACTACCATTATTGAATGTCTGCCATGCTCTGGACATCCTACTTAATGTATTATTAATATTTGAAGCAACTATAGGAGGGATTAATTATCACCTACAACTCAGAGAAGAGGAAACTGAGGCACTGAGAGGTTCAGAACACACCCTTGATACCACAGCCAGCAAATGCCAAGACCAGGATTTAAACCCAGGACTATCCTTGTGGACAGCAGCACCACATCCATTCCAGTGCTCTATTCCCCACATGAGAACACTGAGGCTGTGACAAGGAGGGGAGGTGGGCCAACCGAGCCCTTGGAGGATCTGTTAGCTCCTGCAGGAAGCTCTGCAGAGCGGCCCTGACCAAGCCTGGCTTCTCCTCCTTCCTCTCTTGAGCCCCCAGCGCTGCTGCTCCCTGGCTGCACAGCCCTGGCCAAGCCAGTTCTCCTCTCTGAGCCTCAGTTTCCACTTCTGTGAACAGGGATAAGGAAGGGGGAGGAGAGATCAGACGGGAGCGAGAACAAGAACATGCCTGGCATTGACTGGCACCTGGGGCACTCATGGCTTCCTGTGCCTTTCCTCTCCTGGGGTGTGGCCCAGGAACTTCCCCACCCATCAGAGGACCTGGGGGCCCAAGACACGGAGAGTGGGTGTTGGGTTCTGAGCCCAGCTGAGAGCCCTGCAGGTGCAGATGCTGTAACCAAGGATGGTGATGAAAGGGCAGGGTTCCCCAGGGGTGACCGGGTCATTGGCACTCACCATCAAACTGGGCCGCCTCGCCGTAGCCCTCTTCTTTCTTCTCTTGGAAGAGTTTGAGGCAAGCGCTAGGGCTAGCCAGGAGCAGCCGGAAGCCCTGGCACAGAGGGAGGGAGAATGGTTCAGTGGACAGGGTCCCCCTAGACACAGGAGTGGACAGGGTCCCCCTAGACACAGGAGACCCCAGACTCAGGAGGGGCCTGACAGTGCCTGGGACTCCCCTCTCCCGATCAGTCTGCACCCCAGCCACAAGCACTGTCTGCAGCAATCCCGGTCCTCCAAGCAGGTTCCCACCTCCAGAACTTTTGTCTGTGCTGTTCTCCCTCCCTGGAGGCCCTGTGCATTTTGCCCACCAAGGCATTCTGACTTCTTCCTTCAAGACCCAATTCAGGGCTGGGTGAGGTGGCTCACGCCTGTAATCCCAGCACTTTGGGAGGCCAAGGTGGGCGGATCACCAGCAGTCAGGAGTTGGAGACCAGCCTGGCCAACATGGTGAAACCCCATCTCTACTAAAGAGACAAAAAATTAGCCGGACATGGTGGCGTAATCCCAGCTACTTGGGAGGCTGAGGCAGGAGAATCACTTGAACCTAGCAGGTGGAGTTGTAGTGAGCCGAGAGAACACTATTGCACTCCAGCCTGGGCGACAGAGCAAGACTCTGTCTCAAAAAACAAACAAAAACAAAATACCCAATTCAGATGTCTCCTCCTTCACTGTCAGAGCTGCCCCTAGCAGAGCTTTAACCACTGGTCACTGGGAAGCCTCTTCTCCCAGGCTGCTGGCTCCCTGGCCATGCCTTCCCCAGCCACCTCTGCAAGGCTTACTGTAGAGGCCCAGAACCCAGATCTGAATCCTATCCTGACACCTGCAGGCTGAGTGAGCTTGGATGGATTAATGGCCCTTCTGAGCCTCAATTTCCCCACTTGTAAAATGGGGCAATAATAATCGCACCCACCTGACGGGCTTGTTGGAGGATTAAATGAATTAAAACATGTGAGTATTTGGCACATAGTAGGTGCTCAGTAAATATTACCAATTATTATCAATATTATTCCTGACCGTTGGCTAAAGGATTTGGGTTCAAGCACAAATACCCAGGAAGTGTGAGGATGAGTGTCAGGGTGCCCTTACCCAGAGGATGCCCCAATCCAGAGCTTACTCGGGGCACAGGGTTGAGCTGGTTCTAGATGGCTTTGCCCTGACTCATCCCATCAGGTCAGACAGGGGCAGAGGTGGCTCAAGCAGGGAGGGAGGGGAGGAGACGCACCTTTTGGTCAGAGGTAGGCACAAAGGTCAGGAACTCGTCCACGTGGCCCACAGAGAGCCAGTCCGAGTAGAGCTCCACGGGTGCCTGCACCTGCTGGGCCTTCAGGAAGTTCCGCACCACCCTGGCCATCTGCCGCCCGCCGGACCTGGCCAGGAGGGAGAGGGCGCGCAGTCACCTTGTGCCTGGGAGGCGTCAGGCCTCACCTCTCAGTCATCATCAGATCTGCCACCAGGGGGCGGGATTGCTCAAAGAATGCTTTAAATGTGGGGTGTAGAGGGTGGAGAGGCCAAGACAACAGAGAATGGACTGTGCATTTGTGTGTGCATGTGAGCACCTACTGTGTACTGTCCTTAGGGTACTCTCACTAAGTGTCTTGTTTAATCCTCCTGATGACCCTATGCTATACATACAAATACCAGCTCCAAGTTACATCTGAAGTGTGCTCGGCGGAGCTGTCTGGCCTCACTCCCCACTGCGCACCTCTTTGGTCACTTGGCTCCAGGTCCACCGGCCTCCCTGCTGGTCTGCTGTCTCCAGCCTGCTCCTGCCTCAGGGCCTTTGCACGGCTGTTTCTACACCCTGGAATATTCTCCTAAGTAGCCACATCTTTAACTGCCTCTTCTTTCTTTCTTTCCTTCTTTTCTCTTTCTTCCTTTTCTTTCTTTCTTTCTTTCCTTCTTTTCTCTTTCTTCCTTTTCTTTCCTTCTTTTCTCTTTCTTCCTTTTCTTTCTTTCTTTCTTTTCTCTTTCTTCTCTCTTTCTTTTTCTTTCTTTCTTCTTTCTTTCTTTCTCTCCCTTTTTTTTTTTTTTTTTTTTGAGAAACGGGGTCTCACTCACTCTGTTGCCCAGGCTGGAGAGCAGTGTTGTGATCATGGCTCACTGCAGCCTCAACCTCCTATGCTCAAGCGATCCTCCCACCTCAGCCTCCTGAGTAGCTTGGACTACAGGTATGTGCCACCACACACGGCTAATTTTTGTATTTTTTGTGGAGGTGGAGTTTCACCATGCCACCCAGGCTAGTCTTAAACCCCTGGATTCAAGCGATCCCCCCACCTCGTCCTCCCACAGCACTGGGACTACAAGTGAGGGCCACTGTGCCCGGCCTAACTGCCTCTTTTCCTCTAAGGCTTTGTTTAAACATCAAACTCTCAGCAAATCTGAGACAAACATTTACTGACATGTGCCACACACATGCTTTACCCAGGCTACCTCATTTAATCCTTATGACAGCTCTGTGGGGTGGGGACCATTACTGTCCCCATTTTACAGATGAGGAAGTTGAGGCCCAGAAAATTAAAGTCATGTGCATTTGTTTATGCATTCATACTATATTCATACATATGATCGGAGGTACTTATTTGTTTTGTTCACTTATTGTCTGTTTCTCGCTGCCGGAATGTTTGGTTGTCTGTTTTGTCCATTGCTAAGGTCAGAAACCAAGGCAGGGTCACTGGACAGCAGCCTGAGGTGCTAAATTGGAGTTTGGGGCCCAGGTAGAAGGAGACCTGGGTTCTGACCGTACTGCTAACTTGCGGTGTGGTCCTAAGTACGTAGCCAACCCTTTTCAAACCTCAGGTCCCATCTGTCCACCAAAGGCCTGATTCCTGTTTTTCAATCCAACAGCCAATGGAATGGGGACACGTCCACACTGGAGACCCCTCACTTTCCCATGTGGGGTCCTTGCTCTGTGCCTGGGAGTTCCCAGAACAGATCCCTGCACCCTTGAGAGAAGGCTCCTGGTTTGGTTCCCTGGCTCGTGAGGCTTGTGGGAGCAGACAGGTAAGGATGCCCATGTGTTGCAGCATGATACAGAGACTGGGGCAGGAGCCTGGGACACAGAAGGAAGCAAAGTCCTTGGAGAACACCAAGGAGCCCCTCCCCTTCCCCAGCCTGCATCCCCTGAGCTCGGCCCCTGAACCCAGGTCCCAGGGATCCCGGAGGAGACAACCGCCCTGTGAGGCATCTGAACAGAATGATTTCTCCCCGAACTCTGTCCCCAGCTGGACCTGCAGAGCCCCCTCCTGCCTGAGGTCCTACCAGTCCATCCCCGCTCATCTACATGCCACCCATACCGAGTTCTTCCCACTTTTCCTTTGAGCTGTACCTTCTCTGGCTTCCTGGCTTCTGCCTGTGCTCTTCCCTCTGCCTGCAACACTGGTCCACTCCACGCTACTTTCCTTCCTTCCTTCCTTCCTTCCTTCCTTCCTTCCTTCCTTCCTGCCTGCCTGCCTGCCTGCCTTCCTTCCTTCCTTCCTTCCTGCCTTCCTTCCTTCTTTCCTCCCTCCCTCCCTCCCTTCATTTGTTTGTTGAGATGGAGTCTTGCTCTGTTGCCCAGGCTGGAGTGCAGTGGCGTGATCTCGGCTCAATGCAACCTCCACCTCCTGGATTCAAGCAATTCTCCTGCCTCAGTCTCCCAAGTAACTGGGACCACGGGTGTGCACCACCATGCCCAGCTAATTTTAGTATTATTAGTAGAGACGAGGTTTCACCATGTTGGCCAGGCTGGTATCGAACTCTTGGCCTCAGGTGATCCACCCATTTTGGCCTCCCAAAGTGCATGAGCCACTGTGCCCAGCCTACCTTGCTTCTTTCCTTACCTACCTGAAGTCTGCTCACCGTTTATGATTATGTATTTATGATTACGTGTCCATATCGTTGGCTGCCCCTAGGAAGCCTTCTGGGACACCACACGTGGGATGATATGTGATCCCCTCTCTGATCCATTGCTTCCCTGTCTCCCTCATTAGACTCTAAATCTCAAGGGCAAGCTCCTCAGCCATTTCTGTATCCCCGGCATTCAACCTTGGGCTTGGCCAATAGGAAGTCTCCATCAATATTTACTGAATTGGTAAATGAATGTATGAAAGAATGCACATAACTTAACTTTTCCAAGCCTCAGCTTCCCTATCTGTAAAATGGGGATGATGATGGTCTCAGGCTCACAGGGTTGTTGTAGAAATTCAATGAGGTCGCCTGGGAAAAGCACTGTGGGTGTGACATGTAGTGGGTAGTAGGTGGTCAATACATTTTGTCCAATTAGTTCCACCTGCTGTGAAGCAGCTCCACTACTGGGGCCAACTGAAAAATACCTAAGCATTCAAGAGGTGGATGACATGAATTCTTTATCCCCAGTAATGCTGATTCTATAGCTGGGACTGGGAATTTCATCAGGCCCATTTTAAAGATAAGGAAACTGAGGCATGGAGTATAAAAGAATTTGCTCATTTAAAAGGCATCTCTTTTGTTCACTGATGTATCCCCAGTACCTTTAACTGTGCCTGGCACACCAAAAATATTTTTAAATGAATTAATTGAGTACCTATTGTGTGCCAGGCACTGTGGTAAACACTGGTTTGGGGGACACATCCCAAATCAGGTGGCTGGCAAGTGGCAGGGCCAGGACTCAAACCCAAGACCATCTGATTCCAAAGCCTGTGCTCCTTCCTCACAGCTTCCTCCCTGAGTTAGAGGAAGACCATCCTGAGGCCTCAAGGCCCGTCTGCCCCCAAGGGTGTGGGCAGAACAACACACACAGTAGTGTCTGGGCATGAGTCACATGCCTCTCGCCTGGCCGGTCTCAGCCCCAGGCACTCTGCCTGGGCACCCAGTTACGTGCCTGGGTGGGTGCCAGGAATCCTTACCTCATCCGATCCAGAGCTCTGAGACTGCCAGATTCACCAGGTGAGGCTGTGACCTTCTCAGCACTGCCTGACTCCTCTGGGCTGGAGACCAGATGGTCAGCCAGGGCTTGGGGGGCAAGTGGGGGCACCCCTGCCATGCAAAAACCCCACAAATAGGAAGGTGATCTCCCGGGCTTGCAGTGGGTGTCATCTCCAGGGAGGAGACAGGGGAACCCACCAGGACCCTGCACTGCACACCCCATTCTTTGATTACCTGCAGGGAGGGTGTGCACCCATTCAGCAGGACCTAACAGACATCGCCACCTGTTTGAGCGTTAAAACCTAAATGCCTTGTTTCCTGCTCCATCGCATCTGTCCCGGGTGAGATCCACTGACTCACCTCTGTCATAGGGTATCCTGGCCACTCACTTGCTTACCTGCAGCCACCTGCTCCGGGAACTTCATGACCTCAGGGCCCTTTTAAGCCATGGTTAGGACAGAAACTATTCTGACTTCCTAATGGGAGAAGTCGATGAGTCTATTCCTCCGTCTCTGTACCAGACTGTATCTCACCTCCCCAGCTTCTCCAGTTTTTCATGAGAAGCCAGAAACATGGCTTTTTACGGGAGGCCCCCTGATATCTCTTTAATGTTGATGACTCATTAAGCCCATGAAATGAGGTAGGTCAAAAGATCACAGGCCACAGGCATGTGAGTTTTCTCCTAAGATTCTGTAATCTTTTGAGATCCTAGGTTGCCGAGTCTTTGATCCCAGGATTCCACACAGGAAGTTAAGACCACTTATCAGACTAGGGAATTGTGTTTGTGATGGGGGCACAGGGAGGGTGGATGCTGCGGTCAACCCCTTGTGCCCCCCCACCTCCCACCCCAGCCCCTCACTTGGGGTAGCTGCTCCCGATGAGGATCCGGCCCAGGGGGTACTCCATGCTGCCCACCGTGACAGGTGGACTGACGTCCAGGTTGCCGAAGGAGTCAAGGCTGGAGGGACCAGAGAGTGGGATCTCCCGGGTCACATATCCAAAGTCAGGACCCTATGGAAGGACCAGCGAGACCCCCGCCCCAAGAAGGAGAGGTCAGTGAGGACCGGATGAGGAGCTTCTTGGAGCAGAGGGAAGATGCTGGGGGCCTCCCACTCCATGGCTCCTGGTGCTTGAAAAACGATCTCTGTCCACTTTTTACAAATCCCTCCAGGCTCTGAGAACCATGCAGTTAAAGTCAAATCAATAACCAAAAGATAACTAGAAATTCCCCCAAATGTTTGGAAATTAAGCAATACACATATAAGGAATCCATAGATCAAAGAAGAAATTAAAGCGGGAATTAGACAAGATTTTGAAGTGAAAGTTCATAAAAATCTGCTGTGTTTTGATAGCACATTAAAACTCATGGGATGTTGGTGAGGCAGCACTGCTAGGGAGTTGCCAGAGCTCTAGATATGTATATTTAAACTGAGCATCCTGACGCATGCCTGAGTTCCTGGCTCCTCAGGAGGCTGAAGTGGGAGGATGGCTTGAGCCTAGGAGGTGGAGGCTGCAGTGAGCTAAGACTGCACCACTGCACTCCAGCCTGGGTGACAGAGCAAGACCCTGTCTCATAAAATAAAGTAGGCCAGGCAAGGTGGCTCACGCCTGTAATCCTAGCACTTTGGGAGACCGAGGTGGGTGGATCACGAGGTCAGGAGTTCGAGATCAGCCTGGACAACATGGTGAAACCCCATCTCTACTAAAAATACAAAAATTAACCTGGTGTGGTGGTGCGGGGAGGGGGCGCCTGTAATCCCAGCTACTCGGGAGGCTGAGGCAGGAGAGTCACTTGAACCCGGGAGGCAGAGGAGGCAGAGCTGAGAGCGTGCCATTGCACTCCAGCCCAGGCAACAGAGCGAGACGCCGTTTCAAAATAAATAAATAAATAAATAAATAAATAATAAAACACGTGTGTTTTTTAGGAAAAGGCTGAATCATCTTAGATTCCATTTGAAGCTAGAAAAAGAATAGCAAACTAAACACAAAGAAAGTAGAAGATGAAAGCGACAAAGAGGAGAGCAGAAATCAGTGAAAAATCCCCTGGCCCCTATAGGCCAAGCCCAGGGCAGGTCAGGTGGGTCTCTCTCCAGCACTCTGGCCCTGGCAAGTGCACTCACCTGCTGGGTTCATTGTCACCCGATCCCTCCAGGCTGGGATGAATGCCCCTGCTCTGTGTGCCCACAGACTGCATCCCATCACAACTCCTACCCAGACTGGGACTGTCCCAGCAGTGGGGGAGTGGGAGCCGGGAAACAGGCAGAGACCATGCGCTCACCTGGAGGGGTAGTGCACTCGAGGCTGAGTGCAGGGCTGTGGGGACAGCCCCTCTAGCTTTGCATCTTGGTGCCACTATTAACTTGCTGCATGGCCTTGGGCAAGTTATTTAACCTCCCTGAGCCTTAGTTTCCTCATCCATAAAGAGGAAATAATGATAGCACTTATCCATAGGCGTGCCCCATGGAATTCATGAGGTAAGCCTTGGAAGGCTAGGAGACAGTGCCTGGAACTCAATACGTAATAGTGGGTGCTGCTGTTGCCATCTTGTGCACAGGCGGTAGCACAGTGCCTGGCACGTGGTAGGTGTTCAGAAAACATTTGACACCTAAAGAGAGGACCTAGCTGTTAAGAACAAGAGCCATGCAGGCTCACTAAGGGTACATTCCCACATTCCCTCTTAAAGGCAGTTTGGTCTCCCCAAAGCTGACCACGCTGCCAATTTCCCCTTGGTGACCCGTCCCTTCTCCAGAAGAGCTCTGCTGACCTGCCCCTCTCAACACAGGAATAATCAGGCTGCTGCCTATGTGCATGTGATTTGCATATCATTTCCATCTCTTGCCCAAACTCCCCACTGGCTCCCCAGTTTGCTGCTGTCCCACCTCCTGTATACTTCTGCCTCCTTTTCCTGTTCTCCGAGCCTTATAGGACCAGGCCCAGATGAGACTTCACCAGTGCCCCTCCAGGAGGACCCGGCCAGGGTGTCCACACTCTGCCTGTCGCCACATACCAGGATCCTCTTATAGGGGAAATCCTTCAGGCCTCTGTTCCGGGGGGAGTCAAAGACCACGGGGAAGGATTTGTGAGGGGCCTCGATGTAGCCAAACTCCATCTCGTCCTGGGAGGGGAGAGATGAAAAAGCCATGGTGACCTTTTTCGGGTGGGTTACAGAACAGGATGGTCCCCACCGCGCCTGGGGCAGGGCAGGGCAGCAGATCTTCCCTAAGATCTGGTGAGGGGCAGAGGTAGACGTGAGGCCTCTTAGGACCCCAGCCAGGTGAGGACTCTCGTCTGGGACCAGAGCGTTTGGAGGGCAGCAGTGGAGGCTGGGGCTGAGGCAGGCAGCGGAAAAGCCCTCGCCTCGGAAGCCTGGCCCAGGCGGCCGTGGCTTCTCTAGCGACACGGAGGTCCATCAGGCACCTGTGCGGCTTCCCTTTCCCCCAGCCAGGCTGCAGGCTTCCTGGGCTGCCCCCAGCTCTCTTCTGGAGTCGGCTTCGGCTCCCACCTGGATCCAGCGGTCATTTCGATTTTCAACTCGAGGGCAGATGATCAGCTTGCAGTTGGCTTTCAACGTCAGGTAAGACATGTCCTCCAAGAATTTCTCATTGGAGCCGTGAGTGTCCATCACACTGTAAAAGACAGGGAGAGGGGAGCATGCTAATGGCCTCTGACTGTGGCTGAGGTGTGAGTGGCCTTGATTCAGTTTGTGCTGGGCCCTGTGCAGCCTCTGGGGTAGGGGGGTTCCAGCTCATGACCTTGAGAGGCTCCTAGGCCCATGGGGAAGATGGATAAAGTCTCCAGATCATATCAGGTGACAGAAGCAAGGTGAGGCATAAGCGCAGGCTGTGGAGCCCAGAGGCAGGACACCTAACCCAGCACAGGGGGTCAGGGAAGTCGCCACAGAGGTGACCTGGGGCTGAATCTCTCGGGTTAAAATAGCAGCGAGGGGCAGGTGGCCCCGTCTACTCCTGTTCCACACAACTGGCCTAAGCCAAGGGGTCAGGGTGGGATTAGCAAGCAGGAGAAGAGTCTCTTTTTAATACCTACACACACCTAGATCCAGGGAAGCACAGCAAACCTGTGTGGCCACACCCTTCCCAGCCTTTTAACTTCTATCCAGCTCGACTGTGGCTTTTTCCAGTGGTCTGACCTCTGGCACAGAGGGCTGGCAGGGCTTTGCCAGTCGAGGCTGGTCCTTCCCTCAAGGGCATGGTGAGGATTCTGAGACAGCAGAAGGACCAGCGAGCTGGGTGAGATCGGGCTTGCAGTGAGACCCGAGGACTGGGTTCCCACGTCCTTAGCAGGCACGGGATTGTACCCATGTCACAGTGAGGGTAGTTCTCCGATGGTCACCAGCAGCCTGTGCAGAGCCTGGCCCCACTGCCCAGACTAAATCTGAGATGTTCTGGGGCTGCAGCCACAGGACAGGATGGGCAGGAAAACCAGAGCTTGAGCCAGTGACCTGGGAGGGGCCTTAGCTGCACAGGGCAGGGTGGGTCAGGGTTGGGCAGGGTGGGACCCCAGCCCATCTGCTGCGGTCCTGCCACCAGCTGAATTGGTGCCCACATTGAATCTGTTAGTCTGAGTGAGGCGTGCAGCCCTGAGGCAGCTTCTGTCCCTACCTCTGCACTCCAGACCTGGGGGAGGGCGGGAGGGAAGGAGCCTTCACCTGCACACATACAGCTCCTCAGGAGGCTGAGTGTTGGGCGTCATGATCCAGGGGGCCATGCGGAAGCCCACAGTGTCTGTGAAGAGGGTCACCTCAGGCACGGTCTGAGGGGAAAATGAGGACTTGGTGGGTCCTGCAGGGACCCCTAGCCTGCCTCAAGCCCCCCAGCCCCCAGCCTGCCCAGCCTTGGAGCCTCCAAACTAGGTCCCCAAACCCCTCAGCCTCCATGCCCACCCCCCAGTGCTGTACACACCCCCGTGTCCACCAGGCTGACACTGAGGGAAACCAGCCCCAGGAAATCGGCATCGGGGAAAGTCAGCCCCTCCACATAGAACCTGATCTCCTGCTCCCCCGACTGCCGCTCAACTTCGTAGGACAGACGCTGGGGCCCCAGCACCTGCTTGTAGTCCGAGAGAGAATTCCCACCTAGGAAGAACAAGAATCAGGGGCTAGCGTGGGGACAGGGGTGAGGGGCTGCAAGCCCAGGAATCCAGGACAGAGCCCCCTTTTTGGTTAGAGCTGCTTGGGTTTCTCTCTGGCTCTGCCATGTGCAAGCTGTGTGGCCTTGGTTCAGTGACTCAACCTCTCTGAGCCTCAGTTTCTTATCTGTAAAATGGTTAACATTTTCTCATGAGGCCAATATAAACTTTAAGCTAAATAAAGAGATAGAAGCACCTGGCACAAAAGGTGAAAACTACCCATGGATAAATACATATGCAAAATATGATATAGTCATAAGATGGAATATTATTAATTCATAAAAAGTAATGACCAGACAGGTACGGTGGCTCATGTCTGTAATCCCAGCACTTTGGGAGGCCAAGGCGGGAAGATCGCTTGAGACCAGCCTGGGCAACAGAGTGAGACCACATCTGTACAAAAAAAATTTTTTGGTTTGTTTGTTTGAGACAGAGTCTCACTCTGTCGCCCAGGCTGGAGGGCAATGGCGCAATCTCGGCTCATTGCAAGCTCCACCTCCTGGGTTCACGCCATTCTCCTGCCTCAGCCTCCCGAGTAGCTGGGACTACAGGTGCCCACCACCACGCCCGGCTAATTTATTTTTATTTTTAGTAGAGATAGGGTTTCACCGTGTTAGCCGGGATGGTCTCAATCTTCTGACCTCGTGATCCACCCGTCTCGGCCTCCCAAAGAGTTGGGATTACAGGCGTGAGCCACCACGCCGGGCCCCCAAAATTTTTTAAAACAACTAGGCATGGTGGCACATGTCTGTAGTCCCAGCTACTCAGGAGGCTGAGGTGGGAGTATCACTTGAGCCCAGGAGTTCAAGGCCGCAGTGAGCCATGGTAGTATCACTGCACGCCAGCCTGGACACCAGAGTGAGACCCTGTCTCTAAAACATAAGAAAAGTAATGAAGCACTGATTCATGCTATACCATGGATGAGACTTGAAGACATTATGCTAACTGAAAGAAGCCTACTGTATGGTTCCACTGACATGAAATATCGAGATAGGGAATTCCAGAGATACAGAAAGCACATCAGTGGCCGCACACGGCAAGAGAGGCTGTACATTCACTTGTCGAGGCTTTGCTTATTCCCTGGTGTCACATTAAGTGCTTTCAAGCTGAGTCCTCTGCCTAAACTTCCACCACTGGTGCACAGGAGGGAACATTCTGGCTCCTGCCAGGCTCATTTAGCTGGAACAACTAGTTCTGGGTCAGTTTGAACAGAGGAGGGTGAAGGGGAATCAGGAAGGGCTAGAAACCTGTTGCTGTTTGTAAAAACAAGTAAGAGCACTCCGGGGTTAAGGTGCATTTTTATTTTGTTTCATTTCATTTCATTTATTTATTTGAGACAGGGTCTCACTCTGTCTCCCAGGCTGGAGTGCAGTGGCATAAACACGGCTCCCTGCAGCCTTGACTTCCTGGGCTCGAGTGATCCTCCCACTTCAGCCTCCACAGTAGCTGGGACTACATGCTAATTTTTTGGTATGTTTTGTAGAGACAAGGTTTTGCCATGTTGCCCAGACTGGTCTCAAACTCTTGGGCTCAAGTGATCCTCCCACCTTGGCCTCCCAAAGTGTTGGAATTACAGGCGTGAGCCACTGCGCCAGGCCAATTTTTTTTTTTTTTTTTTTGAGACGAAGTCTCGCTCTGTCACCTAGGCTGCAGTGCAGTGGCATGATCTTGGTTCACTGCAATCTCTGCCTCCTGGGTTTGAGCGATTCTCCTGCCTCAGCCTCCCAAGTAGCTGGGACTACATACATGAGTTATCACATCCAGCTAATTTTTTTTTTTTTTTTTTTTTTTTTGAGATGCAGTCTTGCTCTGTCGCCCAGGCTGCAGTGCAGTGGCACGATCTCAGCTGACTGCAACCTCCGCCTCCCAGGTTCACATCATTCTCCTGCCTTAGCCTCCCGAGTAGCTGGGACTACAGGTACCCACCAACATGCCCGGCTAATTTTTTTGTATTTTTTAGTAGAAACGGGTTTTCACCATGTAAGCCAGGATGGTCTCGATCTCCTGACCTTGTGATCCACTCACCTCGGCCTCCCAAAGTGCTAGGATTACAGACTTGAGCCACCGTGCCCGGCCAATTTTTGTATTTTTAATAGAGACAAGGTTTCACTGTGTTGGCCAGGCTGCTCTCGAACTCCTGACCTCAGGTAATCCGCCTCCCAAAGTACTGGCATTACAGACGTGAGGCATTGCGCCCAGCCTTGGCCATATTTTTTAAAGCCACAGGCTGATTAATAAAAACTCTGGTGAGAAAGTTGGGTTCTGGGGCCAGGGGCAGGGCCTGGGCCTCAGCCTCGCTGGTTCTCACGTCCTCCCTGCCTGGACAGTGCTTGGCATGCAGTTCAGTCCACACTGATTGACCAGAGGAGGGAACGGGAGTGGGGCAATGGTAAAAGGAGGAACTTTGGTGCACCCAAGACACCTGGGTTGGAATGCCTGCTCCACCCCAGATGGTTGTGCCACAGTGAATTCCTGCATCTGAGCCTCAGTTTTCCTCTCCATAAAATGGAACTCGTTGCTGAACCTCCTCCTTGAGGACTATATTTGGTACTGATGGAGTGGTTGTTTGTAAGCTGTAATGAGAGTTACAAAAAGGTGATGGAAAAAAAAGAGAGAGAAATGGGGAGGAGAGGATAGACATGGATGGAGCTGGGAGGACAAGGCCCCGTCAGGCCACTCACCCCGAGCACAGAAGACCCTCACTCTTTTGGAATCAGAGACGGGCACGTTCAAGACAAGTTTGTGGCTGTCGAAGAGCTCGTCGGGGCCATTGCAGCTCAGCACCATCAGGGACATGTCCTGCAAGTCTAGAGAGAGTGACCCCCTTGAGATCACCCTTTCTCCACCCCACCAACAGGATCCCCTCCCATCCCCTCACCCCACTCCCCAGACAACACCTTGTGTCACTCACCAGCCAGTGACATCAGCCAGCTGTGGGTGAGGTCAGGCTCTGTGGACCTGTGATTGTCCCGGTCACAGTTCACCAGCAAGATAGCCCCATAGCCCTCAGGGCCCCAGCGCCAGGTTTTCTGTGGCAAAATAAGATGCCTTGGGATCAGTGGGACCCAGGAGGCTCCGGGAAGCGGTTCTAGACATGGCCAGGGCGGGCTGCTTTGTTAGATTGTATACTTTCATATTCTTGGTTTGCTTAAGGATTTTAAAAAGGATTATTTGAGGAATGGAGTTACAGATAAGGCTCTAGACCCACCTCATCCTTGTGCAGTGAACAGTCTGCACAACCATACACAATGGCTCCACCCAGCCATCACACTGGAGAAGCAAAAGTGTTACCATACCCAGAAATGGCCCTCAAAAGCTGGCTAAGCTTTTGCTCTGCCTGGGGGGGCAGAGGCTGCCCACCATGACCTTGATGAGGGTCGGGATCTGGAGAATCTTTGGGAGACCTTCTTCATCCCAGCACTCTCCTGGGACCTGTCCCATAGATATCTCTGGCATCTGCTTGCAGTCCCGCAGGATCTGCAAGCTCAGGTCTGAGCTGAGGTGGGAAAGATGGCTGGAGCGCTCCCTGCCTCTGTGGCTGCCGCTCTCCCCAACACGCCTCCCCACCAGACCCACAAGGCAGGGCTCACTTTCCCCATTTCACAGAAGGGGGCGGGGAGGTTCTGGGAGGTGAGTCCCAAGCCGCATAGCTGGCTTTCAAACCCAGGTCCTTGGGATTGCCCAGGGCCACTGTTAGCCTTTATGGCACTCTTGCCCACACCTCTGGGTAGATGCCACTCTGTAGTAGGGTCCCAGACATGATTTGTATCATAGTTGCCACCATGCCCAAGCACTCTTGTGCAGTGAACTACCCGTACTGCCATCCATGGCAGCCCTGCCCACCTTGTCCTCAAAGCCTTGTGATCCAGGCTGCCTCTCTGGAGTCTTTCTCTTCAAATTGTACCTTCTAGCCCTCCCAGGAAAGCTTTCAGATACTTCCTGTAGGGGGAGGCCCTGAGCCCACTCTGTCCTCCTCCTTAGTCTTCAGGCTTTACCTGGGGCTGGCCACCATAGCCTCCTCTACCCGAAGGCTTGTCTTCTCCTTGCCTTCGGTCACTACTCAACAACATTTTAGGAAGCACTCCCACATGTGTAGGGGTCCAAATATAGCCCGCAAAATAAAAAAGGCAGCAAGCAAAAGAACCAATCCCAATTTCAAAGTGGCACAAGAGAGACCCAGAGAGGGTAAGCTATTTTCCAGCAGTCACAGCATGTTGGCTACAGGGTGTAGGTTAATATCCATTCATGCCAACTTGGCTGTCCCAGATGGGTTTCCTACATGGTTGGATACTACAGACCCTGGGAATCCATCATTCTTCTGTAGGGAGGGCACAGTCCACCCGGGACCGCCCCAAGTTTGCCTTTCAACCCTGCAGTCTTGGAGTGCCCAGGAGGGTCTCACCTTGTCCCCCTGGCTTCTCTTCACCTTGCCTGTGCGGCCTGTGTCGACCTCAAGGGAAATATCTGCAAAGAGATGGAGAGGGGCTGCCAGGGCTCATCCAGCCCCATCTTCACACCCCTAAAGTCCAGGCTGGGCAAACTCTGACCCCGCCCCAAACCCGTGAGGGCCAGGATGCCCTGACTGGGGGTCAGACCCCACACTTGGGAGGCCCTTGTGGCTTGCCCTGTGGTTCTGGGAGTTGGAGGGACCCAAGCCTTTGGCTCTTGAATGACTTGCTTGCCTGTGCATGTCCACCTGCTAGCTCTTGCTGGCTTTGGGGTTCTAGATCATATGCTGGTGACCCCAAACTCTGGCAACTGGGGACATGGCCTGAGGTTGCAGGGGCTGGGTTCTGCCGTTCCATTGCCCTGGGCCCTGGCTGAAGGGGGCACGTTCCGTGCTGGGTCTTGGAGGTCTAATGAGGGTATACGTGGGACTCTGGATGAAGGAGGCTTATTGTGAGTCTAGCTGTTGTTCACTGGGCAGTGAAGTTTCTAGATCCTTGTAGTCCTAAGGCCTGCTGGGCCTCAATCCCTGTGGTTCCAGAGTGGACAGAAGGTCCCTGAGGAATCCAAGCCCCTCAGTGATGGAGGAAGCTGGCCATGGGTCTTCCACTCCAAAGAATTCACTAAGACCCTCAAACAGGCAACTTGGAGCGGCGAAGAGGGGATAGATGGTCTGCCAGGGAGCTGCTACTTACCGACGCCAGTGAGGTACAGCACGCTGTGGCCCAGGGCTTGGTCTTCCTGCTCCCCATAGTAGGAGACCCTCACCTGCGGAACACAGCCCTAAGCCTGCACGGCCACCACCTTCAGAGATGGCGGGGGCAGAGGAGATGGGGGACACACCCTGACAGCCCTACTTAGAGGCACAGGAGGCATGGAGACCCTCCCAGTCTCTGAAGTCCCAAGACTCAAGGGCTCCCGGCTGGGATTCAGAGCTACCTCTCCAGTAAGCAGCTGTGGAGCCCACCCTGACTCCCAGAGCAGGTGCGAGGAGCAAGGAGGGTGGGGGCAGGGTGGAGGGATGGGAAAGGCAGGGCAGCGCCCAGCAGGAGCGGCTGGCAGATGAGGGAGGAACAGCTGGCTCCATCGACCTAGGCAAGTCTCTCAGCTCCTCTTAGCCTCAGGTACTTCCTCTATAAAATAGGAATGAGAACCTCCACTCCATCATCACAGTGAGCCCCTGGGATGGCCCCAATCGACAGGAGACTGTCCCGGTCCTGCCTGCAGTCCCAGCAGTTCCTCAGCTAGCAAGCAGAGGAGGTGGGGTCTGAGCCCATGGTGAGCTCCTGAGCCCCTCTCTCAACAGCTGCCTCATCCCTGCCCTTTCCCTGTCGGGGAGAAAAGGTCATGTCTAGGATTTGGTGGGTCACTGTGTGCCATGGGTGCCCAGGGCTGGGGCGAGTGAGGAGGGAATCGTCTGAGCTTCGGGCAGGCAACGAGAGAGAAGTTTGGCTTAGGCGTGGGAGATCTGTGCACACAAAGGTGTGGACGTGTGTGTGTGCACCTGCACGGGTTGTTGCTGTGTGGTCCTGCCCACACGAGAGTGCTGGGGCTTCTGGCTGGGGCTGTGTGTGGGCTGAATACAGGGATTAATGTGAAGTTGTCCATGAATCTGAGGGGGTGACTAGGAGAGCTTGTGTTTTGTGGGAGTACTCATGTGTACATGTGTGACACTGGAGCGGTGGTGGAGGTTTGCGTGGTTGGGGCATCTGTGGCGTTGTGTCAGGATCCGTTTTGTGTGTGTACTGTGATCAGCTTTGTGAGGTTTGGTTAAGTGGGGAGTTTGGAATGGGAATTGCCATGGTGGGGCTCTTACCTTGGATGGGGGTGGGGAGAGCCAACCCTTTTCTGTGAGAAAGTGGCCTCTTACCTTGAAGTCCCTTAATTCCTTACTGGCTGTGCCCACAGATACGACCATGTCTGCATCAGTGTCCAGTGGCCAACGGACCTTGCCTATGGGCTCTGTCACGTGTGTGCGGTTGTAGACCATGAAGATCTCCACCCCAGGGCTTCCAGAGACCCTGAAGCTGTTGGCACCCTTGGGCACATCACTGGCAGAGAAGGGAATGGGAAGAGACCCAGTACTCAGAGGAGTGGCCGCCGTGGGGTGGGGGCCTGGGGCTGCCTGGCCGTTCAAACGGCACCCCTCAACTGCCAGGCCGGGGAGGCACAGGGCAGTGCCACTGACCAGGAGACCAACCTGGGCTGGGCTTCAGGAAGCCAGGGCATAGATGGCAGACCCTTGGACACCCCCAGCCCACACCCAAGTCCCTTCCAGATCTGACACTTCCAAACTTTCCAGCTCAACAGGAAATCCACTAACCCACCACCTCTCACCACCTCCACTGACATCGCTGCGGCCCAAGCCACCATCACCCATCGCCTGGATCACTGAGCGGTTCTCCTGGGTCCGTGGTCCCACCCGGGCCCCTCCAGTCTGTTCTGCGCACAGCAGAGCGTGTTGTTCCTTTGCTCAAAAGCAGTGGTTTCCATCAAACTCAGTAAAAGGCAGAATCCTCCTGAGTAGCATAAGAGGCCCTTCTGATGTGCCCCTACCACGTTGCTGACTGCCTCCTCCCTACTATACTTCCCCTCGCTCACTTAGCTCCAGCCACGCTGGCCTTCCTGTTGAGCCATGAAGATGCCAGGCTGTCCTTGTACTGGTTGCTTCTGCTACATCGACTGCTCCTCCCCGAGATGTCCACAAGGCTCCTTCCCTCACCCACTTCAGGGCTCTGCCTAAATGTCATCTCAGCAAGCCCCCGCCCCCCCATCACTCCATTTAATGCTGCACCCTGCCCATCTTTCCCCCTCACTGACCCCCCCTCCCCCTTTCCCTGCTCCGATTCTTTTTTTTTTTTTTTGAGACAGAGTCTCGCTCTGTCATCCAAGTTGGAGTGTAGTGGCGCGATCTCTGCTCACTGCAACCTCCGCCTCCCGGGTTCAAGTGATTCTCCCACCTCAATGCCAGTCAACTGTCCATCTTTCTTGTTGGCAGGTCAACTCCACAAGGGCAGGAATTTTATCTGTTTTGTTCACGGCTGCATCCGCAGCACCTATAACAGTGTCCGGCACATGGTAGGTGCTCAATAAACACGTGTGAATGAAGGGATGGATTCTGACTTTCTGCCGCTCTGCAGGGGGATTCAAGCCCATCTGTACTTGAGTGGAGATCTAGAACTTGACTAATGCCAGTACCCAGTGCAGCTTCTTTCCATCACCCAATACACCGCATTCACCTGATACACCAGAGCTCTGGGATCAAGAAATGGGTGTTGAGAAGCTTCCCATCTGCCTTGGCCCCAACCTGGGACACTCATCTTCTGGGGCCCCACCCTACTCCTCACACCACCAGCTGCTCCCAGTCACAGCTGATTGGGACCAGCCTTCCTGGCCTGCAGCATCAGAGGGGGATGCACTGCACATTCAGGCTACAGGGCACCCAGAGCAAAACCAATAGAGCCTTTGTGGGTGGCATCTCATTTTTCATCCCCTGCATAAGCGTGAACTGTGGCCTGTCTGTGCCAGGCACTGCACTAATCCCCAGAGTTCCAGGAGGCTCTTGGGCCCGTGGCGTCCACACTCTGGAGGGGAGGTTGAATCAGAGAACTACACATGGGTGCTTGTTCTTCCTTTGTATGTCAGGGCTCTCCAACATCATCCCCCACGGCAGAGTCATCAGCCACCAGGACACCACCCAAGGTCAAGTCCACTTACAGACATCCACTTGACTACAAAGATGCTGCTGGAGGAATTGTGTCTGTTTTGCTCACAGCTGCATCCCCAACACCTATAACAGTGTCTGGCCCATGGTAGGTGCTCAATAAACACTTGTTAGTGAATGGATGGATTCTCACTTTCTGCCACTCTGCAAAAGGGGTCCTTCTACATATTCTCCCGCCTTCATCCTTTCCTGGACCCCTAAAAAACCACCCAAATATTCAGCCCTCTAGAGAAACCAGACCCCCTCCGCAACCTCTGCCATGATCACTTGGCCCCATCAAAAAACTATCTCCATTGACTGCGGTGACAACAGTCCTAATCACAAGTCCTACTCGGTGCTCCCTAATGCTCATCTCAACCCCCCAAAGCAAAAAGATTGTAATTCCCATTTTACAGATAAGGCAGGAGTGTGCAGGGGCCCCAGAGCCCCCGCAGACTGCTGGCAAGACCCACCACCCCCATCCCCCACTCCTGGCCTTATGATCACCACGTTCCACAGCACTTTTGGGGGCCTTCCCATCTTACCTGCTCTTCCTCATCATTTACATCAGTTACCATGGAAACCCCGAGTCTCCTGGACTCTCATCCTCTCGTCTGACTCCATTCCTCATCCTCCCCAACTCCCTTTCAATCCCAGCCGCCGTCATCTGCATGATATCCTCAGTCCTGCCCCGGACAGTTTTCTTGACCTTGTACTCTAAAGGAAGCCTGCCCCCAACAGCAGGCATGGCCTCCCCTGCAGCCATCTCTATGGTGACTGCTTCCCCCTTACTCCCTCCAGCCCCTGGGCCTGGAGGTGGGCAAGGGTCCTTCATGCTCCTCAATGTCCCTTCCAGATCATCATCTTTATTCTGCAAACCCCCAGCTTTGCATTGACATTTCCAGACTACCCCGCCCATCTACAGGGACACCCCTGCACACCGTCGCTCTGTCCTCATCTCGAGGGTGCCAGCGCCTGCCATGTTCCTCAGCCTGCTGCTGTCACCAGTTTATACTTCAATGGCGATGTAGATGGTGTGTTGCACCCTGGTCCCTCAGCCCCTTGACCTCTCTTCCAATGCTCATGACCTCCACCTGGCCTCATCCCCTCCTTCCCGGGGCAGGCACTATAGAATGTCATTACTGAAAAACTGCACCCACTACAAGCTCCCCTGTTAGGAACCCACTCGGGCACCGCTTCCCAATATTCCAGCTCGCTCCTAACACATCAATGCCACCAAGCCTTCAGCCCAATGGGACACTCGACCTTTGAAGGCTGAATCCTCTCTACCCACTTCCCACTGCTATCCCTCACCCCTCATGTTCCCTCTTCCCTTCCCCAGCATAGTCCCATAGATGCCATAGGCCCCCACTGCGGCCACCCCCTTGCACCACTCCCTCATCTTTTGCTCATCCTTCCCTCTCTTGAGTTGCCTGGCAGAGCTCCAGCTATACAATCAGATCCAACTCTCCACACTCTCTGCACCTGCACCACACAGCTGACCACGGTTCACTTGGATTCATGACTGCTGACCTCAAGGGATGCATGACATGCCTGGTGCTCCTACAGCATTGCTCCAGGCTCTTTTCTCTTTCAGTGTCCTAGAGGACTATGTCCTATCTTCTCCTATCTCCGGAAGCCTCCCCGCTCCTCCTCCTCATCACTCAGAGCCTTCAACCTCCCTCCTCCCACCACCTCATCTCCCTCCTGGGACGAGGAGTGAGCTGCCTGGGCTCCTGCCCAAGACCAGCCCTCCTGGGGGCACATCCCCTACTCAAGGGCATCACCGGCCTTGCCCCTTCTCCCCCGCCTTGCAGCCAGCACACAGACATGGTGAATATCACCCATCCTGAAACTCATTCTCCTTTGATCCCCTCCTTTCTTCTGTTCCCTTGATACCTCCAATTATTTCTTCTCTTTGCCTCTGCAACCTGCCGCTAATCAGACTTTCCTCCCCACCACACCATGGAAACCCCACTGTTGCCAAACCCAATGGGTCTTTTCTGTTCTTCTCCTCGATGACTTGTCAGAGGCACTTGGCCCAGATGATCACCTGTCTTTGAAACACTTTCCCACTTGGCAGCTGGGACATGGACTCTGCTTGCTCTCCCCTGACTCCCTGGCCTTTCGTCTGACGCCTTTGCTGTGTTACCCCCCTTACTCCCAACTCCAGGCAATGGTGTGCTGGCAAATGTTTAACAACCAGCTCTCTGGAGTGGGAGGTTCTTATGCACATATATGTATACATAAATTTATTATAAATTTTACTGATATAAATAGTGTGTAGCACATAATGTAAAAATAATAATATAATACATATTATTCTTTATTGTAAAATGTATTGTAAATTCTATGTAGTCCATTGATTCTTCCAGATGCCCTGTCTTGCAACTGTAGTCAACCTGTGGTTGCAATTTGACCATGATTTGGTCAATGCAATTGCATCTCAGTCTGCTTATTCTTTCCTCCGTAAGTTTATTGTCACTAAATCTGATATGTGACGTAAACGTTGGTTGATATTTTTGTTTACATTCACGAACAAGATGAAAGGGAAACAATGAAGATACATGCCACCCTTCATTCATTCATCTAGGATGTGAGCAACTTCTTTGCTGAATCAGATAATCCTGGAGTAATATTTCATCAATTTTTGGTACTAACCACAATGTCATGTCTATAGATGCAATACACTTTTAAATTTAGTTAGCATTGTTAACCTGTCTCCATCACTTTCTGAACTCTAGACATTCAATAAAACCGTGAATGAAGCCCTGATTTGTAGCCTCGACCAATGTCTGTGGTGTAAATACTCCCACTCTGGCCAGTTTCAAGTTACCAGCCCAACATCATTGGACTCAGAGTTCCAAAGAGATGCATAATAGCACCTCGTGACATCACTACTTCCACTATATATAGACGACGGTAGAATGCAGTAAAATAATTAAGCGGTGATGAGTTTCAGTATTACTGCCTTTGTTTTTAATATAATTTGTTTAATTGTGTGTACAATTTAATTTTAAATAGTGTCTGTGTTTAAAAAGGGGCTCATAACCTTCCTAAAAAATAAATAATCAGATCTTGAGGAAGGACCCTGGTACATTGCCAAAAACTTACACTGCTCATCTTTCTCCCAGCCTTCCCCAAGAGGACGCACAACTTTTTACCCGGGTGACTGTCACTGGGGAAAAGGAAGTAACCGTACATTTCCAGTTCTCCTGCACACTGGCCCTGAACTGGTCTGGGAGACCCGAAACATCACTGCCGCCCACCTGGCAGAGCAGGGGCTCATGGAAGCCAGGTGATCCACGGAGTTTCAGCTCAGGTTCATCTCACAGTGGGTCCAGGGAG